AGTGGTGTTATAGGCACCAAGTTTGTGGCAATGCCGAAGCAACGGCCAGCGGCTGTGGATCCAGTGCGGGATGTTGCACCGCCAAGGTCCCCTGATGAGGCTGCGAGCGAGCCTCCAACACCTGCAGTTGAGGCACTGGGGATGCCGGTTACGCCGTTGGGCGGGGCCGGAGCAATGGCGCCACCGAGGCGCAATGTGCCTCCTCCTGAGAGTGCTCGAGCAATTCCAGATGAGAGCATGGCTGGTGTTGAAGCTGAGCCTCCGGGGCCCAATCCTGCAATGAGGCCCGATCCACCTAGCACGCCTGAAGCAGAACTGCCACCGTTGAAGAAGCTGCGCATTCGTGCTGTGACTTTTGGTGAGCAGTCCTATGAAGTGAACGATGAAGGCGAGTTTGATTTGGACCAGCCCGACGGCTGGGAAGTGCAGACCAAGCTGTGGTCCATGGAGTCCGAGACGGACGACAGTTTCATGAATGAGGTGAAGGCCAATCCCGAAGCGGAAGTGGCCGAAGATGATGACAGACTGTGGTTTCCCGACAATGGAAGGGAGCCAGAGCTCGATGATGCCATTTTGGCCGAGCTTGACAACCTTGCTGATCAAGTTGAGGTCAGCAGACTGCTGAAGAAATCTGTGCTAAGACATGCCACGAGTGATGATGATCTGGGTTCGATGAAGAGCCTCACTACAAAGTTTGTTCGAACGTGGCGGCACAAGAAGCGGAATGGGGTTCCTTCATGGTACCGCCGATCCAGACTGTGTGCTCGGGAGTTTCGGTGGTTGGATGAGTCCAAAGAAGGGTTGTTTAGCCCTGCTACAAGCACGGACATTGTGCGCCTCATCCCGGCGCAGTGGCTGAATTGGAAGCAATCGCGGCCATCCGAGCAGTATGCCATTTTGGCGCTCGACGTGAAAGATGCATACCTTGAGGTTCCCCAGCCGACGCCAGTGGTTTCCAAAGTGCAAGGTCACGACCTCGTGTTCATGCGAATGGTTCCGGGGCAACGTGAAGGATCACAACAGTGGTTCTCACACTTCTGCGAGTATCTCGGAGAGCACTTCGTGATTGAAAAGTGCAAGGAGTGCCCTGCGGTAGTGCATGTCAGCAGCAAGCCAGGATCTGATGGAGTTTGTGCAGACAAGGGTCCGGGCATGATCCATGTTGATGATTCCTTACTTCTTTTGCCGCTCCAGTGGGCCCGCGAGTGCTTTCTTCCAGTGATTGAACAGCGATTTCAGATCACGTATGAGCTTGCATATGAGGTGGGTCATTCTTTCAGTTTCCTCAAGCGTGAGCATACGATTACAGAACAGGGTATTGTGATTCGGCAACCCTCTTCCTACATTGAGCAGATGAAGCAGACCATGAATGTCACGCAAAACAACCGACAACGGGTTCCATGTTGGAGTGAACTTCGTGCTAAGGACACCACCCGTGAGCTCAACCACACCGATGCAAGCAAGTTTCGACAAGCAGTGGGAACAGCCTTATACATATCTTGCGACCGGCCCGATGTGGGCTATGCTGTGCGCATGCTTGCAAGCTACATGGCGAGGCCGACTGAGCATGCAAAGGTTGGTTTGATCAAGCTGATCCAGTACCTTATCAACACATGTGATTATGGGATCCTGATGAAGTTTGCCGCTCCTGGGACAAGGAAACTGAACGGTTATGTGTATGATTCTGGTTGTGCAGATGACGCTGAGCGTAATGTACTGGAGGTGTTTTCGGATGCCGACTGGTCAGGGTCGAAGAAGGATCGTCGATCATATGGTGGAGCGAGTTTCTGTGTGAACGGACAATATGTCCACTACATCTGTAGATCTCAGAAGTGCATCAGTTTGAGTTCGATGGAAAGCGAGTACTACAGTGCTGTGGGAAGCGCGTGCCAGGGGCTGTTCATGAAGGCTGTGATCGAGTTTATGAGCCGGAGCCCCTGCGACCTGATCCTGTATGTTGACAACCAATCGTGCAAGGCCTTCTGTTTGCGTCAGGGAGTTACAAAAGCCAGCAAGCATTTCGAGGGCCGGCTATTGTGGTTGCAGGACATTGTTCAGCAGAAGCGGCTGGTGATGAAATACATCTCGACCCACTTCAATTTAGGAGACCTTCACACCAAGCCACTTTCCCCAAGCCGATTGCGAACTCTACTGTTTCTTCATGACTTTGTGGACTGCCACTCAAGGCCAATCGGGGAGAATGAGTGGGAGCACACGTGCACTGCGGCGACGATCCGAGCTCAGGTCAAGCGTGTTCGTACAGTGGCAGGCAATGACATGTCGAACACGTGGGTTAAGCGAGTGGCAATGCTTTTGCTTATGATGCCGATTCCTGCGGAAGCGAGTGCAGTGACAAGTGTCAACATGAGTGCATGCTTCTTCCTTGCAGTGCTTGTTTCGATGTACATGGCAGTGTATGCAATGGAGAGCACGGCAGAGCATGGTGCCAATGGTGGTGATGAAGGATGGCTGTATATTGCAGCACCCGGCGGGCCGTGGTACCGTCGTGGGGCAATGTATGCCGCTTGTGTTATGATGGCGACAATTGCTTGGAGCCTTGGGTCAATTTCGGCCGGTTTCTTTCGTGATGTGGAGATTGAATCTACCACTACGACTACGACAACGACGACAACGTCAAGCAGCCATGATATGATTTCTTTTATGCTTCTTTGCGGGCTGCTGTGCATACTTGTGGCACTGAGCATTTTGCTCGTGCGCACTCGGTGTGCGCTCAATCGAGAGCGCACTGAGGTCCGAGAACTTGGAGCTTTGTGTTCGGCTCTATGGGATGAGCAGAAGGACGATAAGAGGGCGCTTCACGAGCTGAAGCGCGAGAATCGTTCATTGCGGGACGAGAACGCGATGATACAACTTGAGTTCTATGAAATGCCTCACGGAAGGCAGTGTGCAATGCGTGATGCTACCACGCAGACATGATGCCATTTGCGGTCACCAATTCCCTTTACGGTGGCCAGGCATGTGAAAACTGAGAGCCCGTGTTACGTGCGCCAGGCTTTGCGGTGCACAGGGCATGATGAGGAGTGAGTTTCACTTGAGTTTCAGTGAGCTTCGTAGTGTACTGTAGCCAACTAGCGAACCTCAGGCGGGGTGATGAAACATTACATCCCTGCCCTTTGTACACACGTTGCTTGAACAGTTTACATGTGTTAACACGTGATTTTGGCATGAGCCCAATTTCATGGAGCACATTGTGAATTGCAGAACTCCGCTACGTACCAGGCTCTGAGTTGTGGAAAAGTCCGATTACGTTTTCATCTGCATTGCCTCCAATTTGGCGATCGCTTCGCCCTATGGAGCATTTACAGGTGGAGGCAGCAGCTGATGCCATGGGCAACGGCCGCACTTTTGCTATAGGTGGCTACATTGCTTTACCAGGCGGTGAATTTTGGTTTTCAGAATGCTTTACTGTGGAGGATTTTGCATTCGCAGAGCTTCCATTGAAGTCTGAGGCGCACAAAGACATTACATGTTACGAGTGCCTCGGTCAGATTGCATTAGTTTGGCTTTTGAGTGTACTCAGCCCAGGATGCAAACTGTCTGTTCGCATGCATTCCTGGTGTGACAATAGTGGGGCGGAAGCCACTGCTAACAAGCTTTTCACTACATCCTGGCCTCTTGCTGCATTTGTGCAGCGACTGGCCATTTTGAGCAGTTTTACTGGTGTCCACTTGGATGTACATCACATTGCAGGTCCGAAGAACACTGAGGCTGACTTTTTGAGTCGCTGGCTTCCACCAGCTGCCTTGCCGGCTCGGTGGAGCCTCTCACGAAGGCGTCGCATTGCTTTAAAGGCACTTTGGAATGCTTCGCCTTCCATTTCGATTTCGCCTCCATCGTGGAAGCCTCCTTTCAGCATTCCGAGCAGCTCTCCATTAGGAGCAGCACTCTAATCACCTTGTCGCACGTTTTTCATTTGGGGAATTGATGCGCGACTTCGGTTCTCTGGCAGATTGCATTTGGGGGAAAACATGCAGACCCTTTTCACAGGCAGCTTCTTGCTGCTGAAGCTCGGATCTGCATTTCCCGCCAGAGAACAAAAGGAGCGAGTGTGTGCGAGTGACTGCATCAATTCCCTTTCTTATACATTCTTCGCTTTATATGTATACATTTTTACATATAAAGCTGCATATAGGAAGCAGCTGCGAATACATTAACCGAACGGTATGTGTGCTTGCTCACGAGTGTTTGGTAATGTTTTGCATGCTTGCTGCATTCATGACATTCCATGTGCATTGCAGCAAGCAGGCTCGCAGCTGCCATCTCGCCTGCATAGCGGGCAAAACTTTTGTCCCACCCACCTCTTCCCTTTTCTGGGTGCGAGTGCTCGCGACCGCACTCTTACATTTTCTTCGACTTGCTTGCATTTGCATTCGGTGTCTTTCTGCGGTTTGTCCTTTAAAAGGATGAGTTCATCTGCATTCCCTCTCTCTATGGCAGGTCGGTGCCTTTTGATGCACCTAGATCCCATCTGGGGAGGGGGAAAACATGCAGACCCTTTTCACAGGCAGCTTCTTGCTGCTGAAGCTCGGATCTGCATTTCCCGCCAGAGAACAAAAGGAGCGAGTGTGTGCGAGTGACTGCATCAATTCCCTTTCTTATACATTCTTCGCTTTATATGTATACATTTTTACATATAAAGCTGCATATAGGAAGCAGCTGCGAATACATTAACCGAACTGGTGTTTCGCATGCAGTTTTCGGGATTTACAGCAGATTTCATGTAGTTGCCAACACGATCCGCAGTCGCATGCGCAGGTGGCAGGGATTGTTGACAAAGACGGAGTTTATGCCTCCAGAGCCACGTCGGAGTTTCCGGTACAGCTCGCACAGGCATATGCAGAAGCTGTTCTTCCCTTGTTCGAACCTTCGAGCAAGCCGTACACCATTTCTCTTGAACAGGTTCGGTTAGGTTTCTTCGAAATCACAAAACCAAGGAGGAGCTTCCCCGAAGCACACAGGACGGAGGTGGGATTTACCCAATGCCGGATTGGAGTTTTCCTCCGAGTGGCTGCAAGGACCTCCTGGGGGGAGTGCGTAAGCAGCTAGTGGAGTACCTTTTCCACATCAGAGCCCCGTTGCGATTGCGGGCCCATGTGGAGTCCGAGAGCGAACTCCCTCTGTTTACAGAGACTGAGGTTCAGCAGTTCAGGGAGATCTGGCAGCAATGGTTCATGCAACAAGGTGTGCAATCAATTGATTGGAGCGTGGCTGAGCATCAGCATTACTCGCTGCTGGCTTTGCAAAGCCTTTCTCGAACTTTGCAAGATAGAGATGAAGAACTTTTTCCAGCATTGATTGCGGGCGTTCCTACAGGCTTCTTCTCGGATATCCCGTCCAGTCATGTTTTCGTTCCGGGGCACAAGGATGATTGTGCAGAAACCCCGACGGAGCTCGTGATCTGTGATCGCAACTGGAAGGGGGCCAGGGATAATCCTAAAATCCTTTCGGAATTGATTGATAAGGAGATTGCAGAGGGTTTTCTTGAAGAGCTTGATCTTGCTTCAGCTCAGCAGCGTTGGGAGAACATCGCAGTTGCAACGCTCAACGTGGTCTTGGCGGACAATCGCAAGCCGCGCTTAATCATGGATGGGACGGTTTCTGGGGTCAACTCGTCTTGCTTCTTGAATGAGCGCTATTGTCTCCCCTCGCTCAAAGACGTGCGATCTGCATTCCCGCTGCGCATGAACAATGAGGACCTGTCAGCATTCAGCTTGGACATTCGTGCGGCTCACAAAACGATTCGCATTCGGGAAAAGGACAGGGGTTTGGCAGGGATCAAGCTTGAAGATGGAAGGCACCTGTGGTACCGAGTGTGCCCGTTCGGCACAGGGTTCAGTGCTCTGTGGTGGGCGCGATTGTCTGCTTTCATGATCAGAACCTTTCATCTTTTGATCTGGTTGTGTCACGCTTTAGGCATCTTTGTCGACGACCTATTGCTATGGCAAGGTGACAAAGCAATCGAGATCTCAGGCTGCCTCATCCTCAGTTTTTGCCAAGCTTACAATGTGCCGCTATCGTGGCACAAACTGCAGTGCGGGTATAAAGTGAAGTGGATAGGATGGCTGTTCAATTTCAGAGCAGGGACGTTCAGTCTGCCAACCGACAAGATTGAAAAAGTTTCTTCGATCAGTGCGGGTGGTTCTGCGACCGGGCAATGTGGATCGTTGCGATCTTGAAAAAACGGTGGGTCTACTTCAGTGGGTGAGCCAGATCTCTCCTGAACTCCGCCCATGGATGGCATTCCTGTATGCGGATCTGCATAGACCTGTGGCAACAAACCATCATATTGACTCCGGGGAGTGGCACTTGCTGCACGAGTACTTGGATGCCAACATGCGGTTCACTAGCCAACCTCCGGGCACTGCTATTCCACGGGGTGCTCGTCTCTTGTCGGCAAGGCACATTGAATTGCACACAAAGCAGGACTTGGCGAAAGTTCCGCTGACTTCACGTCGGATCTACATGCGGATCTCCGATCCCAGATCCCAAGCGCAGGATTTCAGAGTGCAGCCGCAAGTTCATGGAATTTTGGGAGTCGTGGTGCTTGCGCAGCCCATTGGAGCAGTGCCTGCACCTTCCTCCACGGCGCATTGCCTGTACCTTGGCTGCGGATGCTTGTGCTCAGGGTTCTTCTATAGGCATAGGTGGTTTCCTTCGAATTGAGGGCTCACCCGTCTTATGGTTCAGCGAGCGCTTTGAGAAATCGGATTTCGATGGTTTGAACATCCCTCTCGACAATAACACGCAGAAGAACATTGGTTGCTGGGAGCTCCTGGCTCAGATTGCTCTTGCTCTTCTTTTTGCAGAGACTTGCCCGGGCGGACGCTGCAGGATTCAGCTACGTACTTTCTGCGACAATGCTTCGGCGCAGGCGTCAGCAAATCGTTTGATGACGACATCATCCCCGCTCTGTTTCTTCGCCCAGCAACTGGCATTTGTCGCCTTTCGGCATGGGAGTACCCTGGATGTGCACCACATTTCAGGCTTCCGGAACGAGGAGGCAGATTACCTGTCCCGCTGGAACGGCACGGACCCTCTGATGCCCGAGTTCGCTGAAACCTTTCGCTATCGCTACCCAGTCAAGCGCATGTGGCAGTCTGACCATGATGTGCGGGTGTTCCCTGCGGGAACGCGTCTCCTGTGGAGTCCTCCTTGAATGCAGCCAGTCAGTCGTAGCACGATTTCAATTGGGGGCTCTTGTCCCAGCGCTCCTCCTTCTTCGGCTGTGGCAGATCTTTAGGGGGGATGCATCTCGGTAAGTCCGATACTTCGGTATCTTACTTAACTCGAATGCTTTACCGCCACCGCCAAAAGAAGGAGGGGTCCGAGTGTAGTGCGTTTGCGAGACCGGAGGAATATTTCATAAATTCATACCCAGTTTATTGTTGATTCTGAAATATATATCTTCGGACTTTTCCTTATGATATTTGGAAACTTTGCTTACCGATTATCTGGTCTTTTCCTCGTGGTATGCCGACGGCTGTTGTGAAATACAACACTGGCAAGATCAACTTAGGTGTACGCCAATTGGGAAGGCCGTGCCAGCGGACTCCGCTCCGGCCACAGCCTGGAAAGCCTGCGCAGAGGTCATCGCCCCAGCACCTCGCTGAGATATCAACCACCCTACAGCTGTGCTTCCTGCCGAAGCCACATAAACCGCCCTCCACGGCAGCAGCTTTACGACCGATCGGATTGCTACGGCCTGACGGCAAAGCTTTTGCAGGCTATCTAAAAAATCTGCTATTAGCACAGGCTGGCCCCAGCCTCGCACACTCGCCCCAGTACGCATACCTGCCTTTAAGAGACACAACGGATGCTCTGGCGAGGGTTCAGGCTTGTGTTCAGACAATCAAAGCAGAGCTGCGCGTGCTCGGCGGGGACAGGTTCATGGTGCGACAGCGGAAGGAAGACGGCCAGCCCGCACAAGAAGCGGGAGGCTGCCTGCTATCAGTAGACCTTAGCCAAGCATTCGATAGAGTCAACAGGTCGAAGCTTGACAGAGCACTTGCGGCACACGAGGTGGACGCAGAAGTGCGCTCCACAGTGGCAGCCATCCACGATGGTGCAGCATACCAGGTGCGCGACCGATTCCAGCAAACAGGGGTAACAACCAGTCAGGGGATTCGCCAGGGGTGTAGGCTTGCTCCGGCCTTATGGGCTGTGCTGTCATCCCAGGTTCTTAGAGACATGGCAGACCCCACGCAGAACCTCTTGACCTTGCCCATTACATTATTCGCTGACGACCACCTTGCACACTGGGTCCTTCGGTCCGTGGAGGATGCCAGACAAATGGAAGCATTTATCATCACACTCTTCAGGACTCTTGAGTCATATGGGCTGAAGGTAAACCCGGAGAAGTCAAGCTTAGTCATCCGCGTCCAGGGAACACAGCTTCGCAAATTTGTCCGTAGCAGAACGGTACATGTCAAACACCAGCCACACTGGAGGCTCCAGGATGGAGAGACGGAGCATCTCATTCCTATGTGTGAGACTATCACGTACTTAGGCACAAAGCTCTCCCTTAAGGATAGCTCGGACCCAACCTTTGACTTCAGACTTGCAGAAGCAGCGTCCAAGGTCACCGCGCTCCGGAAGAGCATCCGAAGTCGCAAGAGCCTTTCAAGGCCCCACAGAGTTCGCATCTGGCAAGCTTGCGTGGTTAGCAGTGCCATGTACGGTCTGCTGACGACACAGTTCAATGGACACATGGTGGCTCGGTTGAGGGCCTGGTTTCATAGACAGTTGAGAGCAGTGGTCAACATGCCTGCACACCTCACTAAAGTCAATAACGAGGACCTCCGGGCTCAGCATAGCCTTAAAGACCCCATCCAGGCACTCCTAGACCGCATTGACCAAAAACTTGACATGCTGCGGAGCGAACACGGTGATCCTGCCGTTAGAGGACCCGGCATTATCTCTTTCTGGGAGACCACCAAAGAGACTCTACAGAGAGCGGCCACCAATCCCACCAGTGCCATCCTCACAGAGACCCAGACCAGAGGAGAATTCCCGTGTCCCACATGTGGTCTCTACTATTACTACCCCACTAAGAAGGCCCTGAGGCAGCACCAGGCATTGAGACACGGCCAGATCCAAGCGGACAAGGTCGCCATGGACTATCGCCCTGAAGACCACTCCACAGGAGGCATGCCACAGTGCCGACACTGCAAGCAGAAGTTCTACAACTGGCAATCACTACAGGGACATATCACTCTCAATGTCTGTGGATGGCATCACGCACCCCCTAAGGCCTCTGTACCAGAAGAACATCCGCAACCCACGGACCCTACGCCAGCACAACTTCACACGCAGAATGCAGAGGATCGGTGTTCTCCTCCTCAACCAGAACCACCTGCGTCCAGGGAGGCCAATGTCTCCGCCCCAGATGATGCAACTTTCTCTCAGCCTTTGTTACGTCAGGATGAGGTTCTACAACATCTTCAGAACCAGGGCGGTATACTCACACAGGCAGAGCTGCATAAAACCGTCCTGCGACAGCACTGTGGCTTCTGCGGCAGATGGATAGCTGATGCTGGAATGATCAAAACACACATCCTACGTACTCATGCTGACCTTGCCAGTCTCATCAATGCAGATCTACATCAAGCCTGTGCGCAGTTTAAGCATCTGCTCAAACGTGATCAACAATGTGACTGGTGCCAGCGTAAGGTGCATGGAGCGGAGAGACATAGCTCCCAATGCCCTGTGCTTTTTCAGCTACTCCTGGCAAAGGCACAACGACAAGCGGGCTCCGCGTCGACCAGCCTCACCCTTCCGACCGCATGGCCCATGCCAATGCCAGCCACTCAGCGCAGCATCGCAGACTGTCTAGCGAATCCACACAGTGACGACAACCACGGGATGCTTCGAGAGATGGCGTCGGTAGCCAAGCAAAACTGCCTCCTGTGGAGAACCTGTCCCGGATATACAAACCTCAAAACCAAACATGAACCGCAGCACGAGGCCACGATGAAGCTGGCGACCTCCGAGGCCCTACTAGCAGCAAGCATTGAGAGACCATGCCTATGGTGCAATGTGCATTTTCAGAAGTCTGCTCGAGCACACAGGGGTAAGTGCCTGCCTCTTCTGCAGCTGTGCCTGCGACATGACTACAACAGCCACCCGAAACGGGCCAGAGAGCAAGAGGAGGAGGACGAGTTCTGGATGGACGTCGACAACCTCGACGAGGCCGCCATGAGGAGCATCCTCAGGGTGTTGCTCAAGGCGGTCTCGAGACACGAACACCAGATGGCGATGCTGGAAGCCGATCGCAGCTTCGTGTTCTTCCTGGAGACGGGGCCTCACGGGATGGTGGGACTGTTGGCGCAAGCCAGTCAAAACTGGCACCAACAGTTCGAACTGGGCAACATCAAGCAGTCGCTCAGGTCCACGTTGTGGGGGGTCCTGCTGATGGAGTGGCAGGCTCGGCTGGAGAAGATCGAGACGGACACGCAGGCCCTGCAGACCGCGGAGGCAGCCGGTTGGATTTCGCGGTCTCCGCTCCAATGGGCTTACACGGAATGGCATGCAGAGCAGCAGAAGGCACTCCCTTCCAGTCGCGACAATCTCACTCACGACAATGCGAAGAAAGCAGTGGCCAGGCTGCTCAAGCTCACGGCGAAGGATGGCACCGTTCACAGGTTTCAGAGTCTCAAACCCCTAAAACCAGAGCTCCAATCAGAAGTGATCGTGATGTTGCTCACGCTCACCATTCACCAACACGCAGCGGAGATCTACGAGGACTTGAACACGCTCGCAAACAACAGCGCAGGCAAGATCATCGGCATGCGCCTCCGAAGGGAAAGGGTCGGAAAGTCAGCACTGGCGAAGGAGCTGGAGCGCCTGCAAATCTGAGCGATGAGCGGATTCCTCCTCGCGCTGATTCATTGGTGATGGAGAGTTTTGAGGGTATGCGGTCTCCGCCACCCGTGACTGCCGCTTTTCAGGGAGAGACTGGACAACACCGTCTCAATGCCTATTTTAGGGGACAGAGCTCCGCGATCACCGGTACCCTCACCCATCCTGCCCCGAACAAGCACTCTCCTACGCATCCTTCTACGGTTGTAGCAGGTGATACACGAGCTCTGACTGCACCGGGACACCATGCCGTCAATGCGCAGCATAATGAAGGTGGTAATAAGCGGTCTCCGCATTCCACAGCATCAACGCCGGGGACTCATAGCGAGGTCGTGCCATTGGGGAAAAGTCAGCAGAGATCTCTCCTTTCATGGCGAGTGGCAAATCCTGCATCGCACACGGCCCATGCACAGAATCTGATCCTGACTAATCCTCATAGTCTCTGCTATGCCAATGCCACAATACATATGCTTCATCAAGCATGCTCCCAAAGCGGCCTTATCACGGGACTCGGTGAGCTTAATGGCGCTTTGATGCAGGCAGCACGGTCCAGCGGGCTCACCAACATAGCCCGAGACTCAGCATGGACTTTCATGTGGCCTGGATGGCAGCGACCCACTCGCCAGCATGATGCCGCAGAATTCCTTCAGCATGTTTGCCAACGCACGGAATGTGAATCGCTTAAAGGAGGATGGGAGGCTCGCAAGTTGGGTGATGGAGTATATGATGTGACGGATGAACAGTTCACCTGTCCACACAATAAGGCTCCAGATGCACCCGCCCTTCCAGATTCAGGCGGCCGTCAACAGATGGCACAACCAAACCATTGTGCATGCATTCACACGCCCACCTGAGATCCTGATCCTGCAGGTGAGTCGATTCCTACACACTGATCGGGGCATTCGCAAGACCCGCCAGACGTTCCAGCTCCAGCGACAAATCAGCGTTCCCGTTTTCACTGATCATGCTGGCACTGTCAGTCAGGTGCCCTATAGGCTCTGTGGTGGGGTATTGCACATTGGAAAAGTAGTGACGGCAGGCCACTACCAAGCCTTTTACTTTCCTGGGGATTCAGATGATCTGTGGAGCTCTTTCATGCTCCATGATGACGAAGTCGCAGCAATCGCGGGCACAGCTGCCATCAAACAAGCCATAGTCACCAACTGTTATCTGCTGGCATACAAACGTTGTGTGCACCCCTGAGATTGCTGGGGGCTAGTGGTTTCCGCTCCCCATCATGCTGCAGCTGCCTGAGTGAGCTTGCATCAATCTTTTAAAGACAATGCTCGAGGGTTCCTCTCACTGTCACCGATGCCTATATATATCATCTGTGCAGTACCCTAGTTGCTTTCTAGACTAATCCCACACTCAGTGGGGTAATTTGTTTATGTCCCCTGCCATGGCATCAACTGCCGGGCTCTACGGGGCGCAGTTGAGTCTCCACCGGCGAACCTTCCTCAATGGAGGAGGGGTGACAAGGTCACAATCGCCCGCAAGACAGCTGACACAGCTGATGCGCTTGAATGAAAAAACGATGGTCCTTCGCGGCTGACCTTTGGTGCAGTCGAGCACATGTGCAGGTACAGGTCACGTCCTTCGTTGGCCACTCTCCTTTCAAGAAGGGGGTGAGCTCAGGGTATCGTGGCATTCCCGTTTGGAAGGAAAATGAAGGCCTGCCTGTGCGAGATTTTTATATATTATATTTCTTTTGAAGAAAGATATCTCGATTATATTTGAGATGATCTTTGTGGAAATATTCGCAATTATAATAATTGCACATGATGTGTTTCGCAACAGAGAATAATGCCCGTGAATTTGAAAGCCTCCGAGCGTCTCATCTTCGCGGAGGGAATCGGAGGGACAAATTTTTGGTCGTGGTGCCAATCTTCGCATGAGGGCATTGGCACGCGCTTGTAGACGAGCTGGCTTCATAACGCAGAATGGCGACCTCTTCGAGGCACTTCTCTTCTTACGAGGCCAGGTTGTGCTTGATGAGCCGCGACGTGTTGCTACTGCTAAACTCTAGCTGCTAAACGCATGTGCCATCACCTCTACACGGATGCATCGCTTGAAGGAGGCGTCGCTGGGTTGGGAGGGATCCTTTACAATTCTTCGCAGCTTGTATGCCGAACGCGTCGACGCGAATGTTCTCGAATCCCTTAACGCTGATGGGAAGGAAGGCTTCATCTATGAGATGGAAGTTTGTGCAGCTGTCCAGGGGTCTTTGCAAGTTTTGCCTCACGCTGCGATCTGCTCAACAATGAAGCTGCACTGGCAGCTTTAGTTTCTTGCAAATGTGAGTCGACCTTTGTAACAGCTAAGCTTGCAGAGCTCAGCCACATGGAGGATGGTCGCGACTTGAACATTTGGTTTGAGTGTGTGCCGAGTCCGTCCAACCCCGCCGATGAGCCTTCGAGAATGCAGCTCGAAAGATTGTTTGTGGCTCATAGGATTCGGTGGTCCCCGGAGTCACTTGCTTGAGCAAACTCGGTGCTCTGTTCGAGCGGTATTCTATACACCTGCGCTTGCTGGAAACTCGTGCTGGATGTACTTTGACAATGGCTTGCTGGATTGACATGTTTTCTTTGTGGTTTGTAAGCTCGCAGCAGACTTCTCGAACTCCGGGTACCGCCACGTTCAAAAAAAGAAGAGGGAATGCGAATCGTTGTGAACATTCTTTTGAGTGCGTCTGTGAACAATAATGCGAATAAGCACCATCTCCCTTTTGAACAAGGGATAGTGCCTTATTCCAGCATAAATCACGGAAAAATTTCCGACAAACACCTTCTCTTTATCGTGTTTGATGACAACATGTCCCCTTGCATGTTGTTTTCATGGTCGCTCAACATGCTCTTTTGTGCATCTGCAGCATTGGTTCACTTGCAGGAGAAAGGAACGATTGTTTTGTCCCACCATCCCACCCTAGCACAGCGGTATTCTATGCACCTTCGCTTGTTGGAAATTCGTGCTGGATGTGCTTTGACAATGGTTTGCTGGATGGACATGTTTTCTTTGTGGGCTGAAAGCTCGCTGCAGACTTCTCGAACTCCGGGTACCGCCACGTTCAAAAAAGAAGAGGGAAGTGCGAATCGCTGTGAACATTCTTTTGAGTGCATTTGTGATTTATATTTTATTATGCGAATAAGTAACTCATATTGGTTATTGTTGGTTGTGTGGAAGTTCACCTGATTGATGTGAGTCAAGGGTTACTTGCGAGAGGGAAATGGTCTTGGGGGGGTATCATGCCAGTTTGCGAATGTGCTGCGGGGTTCAGGAAGTTTCTCAGCCGAAATAAAAAGCGCGGCTCGTAAGAGTCTCAGCATGCGAACGAACGATTGCATGCTGGACAAAGAACCGCCTCTATGCTTCCGAAGAAGGACATGTTTAGTGTCACAGCTCTAAGCCGACTATGTTGCCCGTCGTTAGTGATGCATGTACCAGGCAGTTACCAATAACTCTACCAAACATCAAATTTGACACGCCAGCGACTGGACTCTCATACTGCGCAGAAGAACTTGAGTACCACAGGCCAGATGCACAATGCGAGCTCGATGTCTGGCACAGGAAGCCAGCTGTGCGTTCAAGTGTTTTTTCCGAAGTGTTTTGCAGGTGAAGATGTATGACCATCTCGACATTGCCAGGGTCTTAACATCATAGCAGAGATTACAGTATCTTAGCACATTCGTCACCTGATGTCGATGGGCCATCGACTTTTTCTGTGATGCATGTTAGTAAGACGTGTATGTTAGTGGACGGTTCCAAATTTTGGTTGCTTACTCTGAGAGAGTCGCTGCGGAGGTTGCTTCTATGTAGCTTCTTCTCCGAGTTTTTCCCTTCAAGCGGCCAGGTTCCGTTTATGGCTGTTTCGGTTGTGTGCATTCACCCTGCTGAGATGTTCATTACGCGTGCATGCGGGAATGACGGAACACCGAAACTGTGCGCTTAGTCGTGATACGCGACTTGTTGACCTGCAGCCGCATGCCAGGTTTCTTCGCGGACGGTTTTTGCCGTGGGACCCCTGGCATAGCGAGCACCACGGTCCTATCTACAGGCTTGACTCTGGAGCTGTGAGGTGCAGTTTGATGTTTCTGTGGATCCCACTGCGTTCATCCCTCAGAGTTTTGAAGCTATAGGAGAGTAACATTACTACTCATTCAGGCTTCGAGATCCTGCAACACGAAGAAAGGTTTGCTTGGGGTTTAGGTTGGCAGGGTGTAGGGTATTTACATGACCTTCAAACTTCTCAAAGCCGACCCCAGGGCTCGGTAGGGCTCCTGAGGGCTTTGCACGCTTCGGGCTTCAGGCTTGGGCTTTGGGTTTGAGGCTTCGGGCTTTGGGTTTAGGGTGGTTGGCTAGTTTTTGTTTCCATCAGCCCCGACGGACTGAGGGCCACGCCACAGGAGTACTTCACCGCCCTGCAGGCCAGGAGGAGACCGTCCGAGCGCCTGGTCCCTTTGGTGATTTCCTGTCCTTTCAGGAAGCCTTCGCTGATGCGGCCACCATATCAGGCTGCGACTTACTGGGCATCATGTACCGATCCAGCAGGCTAAATCTCACCACAGTCTCAGAGGCTGGCATCGCACTGCAGTGGTTTGATTTGCAACACCGGGCACAAGCGTCCAGAGGTAGAGATGGAATGCGCAGCTAGTGCAGGGCATTGACCAACGCGCCCTCGGAGCTTCGGAGGTGGCGATGGTGGCTCTGCAGGTGGCGACGGTGGCTCGGCAGGAGCTGGCGGTGTCTCCGACGCCCTGGGCTCGCAGTTCCTGTCCCTTGGACTTGTAAAGACCAGGATAGATCCTTTGGTGTGGTGTCAGGTAACCGCGTACGGAGCACTGTTATGCAATGCTGCTTGCTCGGCTCAGATAGCAGGTCTCTCAGGCCCGTGATAGTCCGGGCCTTCGACTTACGTGTGGAAGTAGAAGACGAGCCTCCCATCGTGCAGCTCCCACTAGGCACTCGACGGATTTTCCTTGAGACTCCGAGATTAGGACGGAGAGAGCCGCCTCATGGCGCCCATTGCACGCTTGACATGCTCAGCCGCTTTCGTGGCTTTTGCAGCTGCTTGCGCCGAAGTCCTCCAGCCCACACTGCTGAGACGCCAGGAGGCCAGGAGGCTGTTGTACCAGTTTACAGCTTCATCGATGTGAATGATGCGCAGTGGCTCCAAGCACCCTGGACACGGAGGTGGAACCTGAATTGGTGGAGGAGCTTCTGTCCGGCCCACGCCACGCTCACAGACACAAGAAGGCGAGTCAAGGGTTTCAGCGGCCTCAGTAATGGAAAGAGATGGACTCAGCGGTAAGGCTACACGAGGCGTGCAACACTTGCCAGTGCTTCCTGCCAGGGCTCCCGTGAGCAGCGCCATGGTGTGAAGCATCACGCCATCAGCCACCTCAAGGCTGCACTCTAAGCCTTAGACCCGATGTCCCGTAGCTTGAAGCGCGCAGGTGAACCAGACCGCAAACCAGAACCAGGGCAAGGACATCCCGGTCTGTGGCGCCGACTACACTTGTGACGAGAAGCGGACGAAGTCCCTCGGAAACTTTGCCAAGAAACACCTGGCCGTCTACACCTACAACATCGGCTCCTACGAGGCCTGGAAACGCATGAGCCCATGAGTTTGCCAAGAAAACCTGGAAGCGAAGAATCTGCCTCACGAGTACGCTTGAGAAAAGAGGATTTATCTAAACGACAGTCGACAGGGTGGCATGCGGGAGAAGAACATTCCCTGCGTTCCTCAGAATGTAGATGCCTTTCTGTTCCTCGACCACGACACATGGGAGCGCTCGAACCAGAGCTCGCTGGGTGTTTGGAAGAGGAGGCAGGGAGGCTCAAACTTCAGGGCTTCAGCAGACACCTTTGCATGTCAGGGGCTGGCAGATCAAGTCAATCTCTCTTCAAGCTGGAACGGAGTTTGTGACGGGTGCCAGGCGAGGGGCTCAGGGCTCATCAAGAAAAGATCCAGAATCCAGAGCCATATTCAATCTCGTCCCCTTGCCAGGCTGACGTCGAAGCTTTTAAAATTCACACCACCGTCGTGGTCCTTGGCAGAACGAGGTCCCAAAAGGGACCCATTGGTGGATGACAGTGGTTGAATTGAGCTGACTCCGCAGCAGCCGTAAGCATAGCAGCCGCAAAGAGCGTGACGTAAGTTGAAAACAAGATGCCTGTACATTATTTTACTGCTTTGACAGCTCAGGCTATTGAATGGACAGTGGGATTGGCTCGTGGAATTCGATGGGAATGTTGTCCTGGATTTGATGCGAGTTGGTCTCTTGTCGGGACATGGTATGTCAGCAGCTTGTTGCTTTTTGGAAGCATCGTTCCTCTTGAAGTTAGCCGACACCTGCATGGAGGTCCCTTCCTGGACAAGTACTCGCTTAAACCTTTGCTACTCTTGGATTGGAGCTATCATGAGAGCTGTGGCGAAGATGGCTTTAGTTGCTTCAGCCACGAACTGAAGTCGATGCTTCAGAACCGTCGGCAGTACATCGAGGACTGCCAGCGGGACAGAAGGTGCAGGAGGGACAAGCACCTTCCGTTCGCAGGACTCCAAGGAGAACATCGTGGCATGGCAGGCACGCACCACGCGCTGCGTTTTCCCTATGTCGGGGTGGGGGGGGTCTCCTTCGCCGCCCAGCCCAGCTCGCTCAGCTCGGCGCGGTCTTCCGGAAACTCGGAGGGGGGGGGCGCAGGGCCACCATCCACCTTCAACGACATTGGCACTCTCCCCATCGGTGGCGTTTTGGGATACCAGTACTGTCGTTGGACTGAATACTATTGTTACTAGTTGTAGTCTTGCTGATGATGACAGTCAGCTGGCCAGCTTGGTGAGCACGGTGTGCCACACGCACTAGTCACTAGTCTTATAAATCCGCATAGTATATACATAGTCAATTGTTTGTTTGTTTGTTTGTTTGTTTGTTTGTATTTATGCTTTTGTTTATTTCTTTATTTACATTTATATTTATGTATATATGTATATATATATATACATAATGTACACATACGCCTTTGCATGGCTTCGTAGCTGTGATAGCTTGCTGGGGTGGCTTGCAGAAATATCGCACTACAAGGCGTCGAGAAGTTTTGCGACTCCTGCAAATATATATATATATATATATATATATATATGTATATATATATATATATAGATGTATATGTATATGTATATATATATATATATATATATTTATAGAGACGTGTTTCCATCCATGTGTGTATGTATCTATATTTATATTTACAATTTGTATTATTCCTACTGCAGCCGGGAGGGGGGGAGGGGTGAGTGGGTGGGTGGGTGGGGGAGGTGGCAGCGGTGGTGGCAGTGACCGCACGCCTTCCAACACACGCACGAATGCAGAACTCTTGTTTGAAGTCTCGTTTCTCCCCCCGAGAAACTCATTCGTCCGACTCAGAGCTCTAGTCAGTATTCCCAACCTCAAGACGACTCTGCCGCCTTGTGATGTTCTGGCCGCACTGACGAGGCATACGTAACCGTCACTGGTAGATTCGTTGGCATGTTAGTCTCCGTCCGGAAGGAAAAGCTGACGAAGGAGCATCAAGGCCGGGCGGGACCCAGGTCAGCAATGCAGTCGAAATACACAAGTATGAGAGGTATGCTGATGTAGTCAACTAAGTACCTAAGTAAGTATGTAAGTAGGTAAGCAAGTATATAAGCAAGTAAGTAGGTATGTAAGTAAGTAAGCAAGTATATGAGCAAGTAAGTAGGTATGTAGGTATGTAGGTATTTAAGTATGTAGGTATGGATGGATGGATGGACAGATGTATGGATGGATGGATTGAGAGGATGGATGGATGCAGGGACCCATGGATTTATGGATGCATGGATGTATGGACCTATGGGTTCATGCGTGTCAACACCTTGTTTTACGGTCTTTTGCTCAAGCTTTTCGTGCCGAGGATTGATGTCCAGAGAGGTCGCTTTCGCCTCCTCCGTCTCGTCGGTCTCACTCGCCTCCGCCATCTGGCACCTCTCGTCCACCCCTCCCACTTCCTTTCCTTTCTCGACTCCTGGGCCCAATCTCTCTCGGCGCCCTCGCACCCCGCAGCATTCACCGGCCCCGCCCACAGTCTAGTTTCCTTCGTCCGTCCGATCGTGGAGTCGTTTGATTTGGGAAGCTTCTTCCTTGGAGTTGGGGTTTTGTTATTTGCCACTGCAGATGGTCGAAAGGATCGTATTGTTGCGACGCCTCGTGCTGCGAAGGCTCGACCGGGTCGCCTGCACGTGCGCCCAAGCCCCTGGGCTTGGGTAGCCGTGTGAGTGTGGCAAAGAGCCTTCGCTTGCTTTGGGGTTTCGGCTCCCCCTAAGGTTTAGGCCTTCCCTTGTCGCATGCAAGCTCGGCCGACAGGCTTTTGCAGGCCCTCCGCCAGGAAATCTCCGACTTTGCCAAGAACCCCGTAGGAGACCGATCCCTTGCAGGGCAAAACCGTCAGCGGCCCGACACAGGAGCATCGGGACGAGATCTCCTGCCGCAATCTGCCGCAGAAGTCTCGCTACTGGTTCGTGGGCGAGCGGCTCACACCGCCCCTCGTCTTCCATTCTGATTGCGGCCAGGTTGTTTTTGTTGGCTTGCCGAACCAGGCCGACGTTAGTGAGGTCTGCAGGAGCACGAGGAGGGTGCTGTGGCTGGCGACCGCGAGCACCGGGTTATTGTTCAATCGACCGAGAGCACAAGGAGAGGACCTCTTAGCAGCCCGGGTGGACCGCTGGAAGGAGTCGTCTCCAAGATTTCCGCCATGATGAAGGCTTTGGTCGCCCGAGACAGCGCTGCAAACCCTTCGGTGGCCGCTGCGCTGCGAGGCACTGTTGACTGTCGCGCGTGCTGCACTGGAAGCGGGTGTCAGTCTCGCCGCTCACCGAGATGGACCAGCACATGCGAGACACAGCGCCGCTGCCCATAGTGATGTTTTGTCGCCCCTTTGCCATGGGCCGGTCCGCCAGCAAGGTTGAAGACGCAAAACGATATGCTCGCCGCTCTGGCTCGGACTGCTGCGACTTTTGAGGTCTCCTGTATTTATACGGTCCTAGCCGCAGGATCCTTTCTCTTTCGCCGGGCACCGTGCTGTGGACCCTCAAGTAGCCCTTGACTTTGACAGGCCTTTGGATCTGATTGGTTCCGGGCGGACCTCACGGGTGCAAAGCTCAAAACCCATCCAAGCTGCACGGCTCTGCTTTCACGGTCGCCCTTTTCACCCGGGCCACTATCGGGCGACTTCGGCTGTTGGCTTTCATCGGCGCCCGCGTCGCCAGCCTGTGGGGCTGGTAACCCGTAGCCTTTTGCAACTTTTGCAGAGCTTGGTTCTTGGACTTCCATTTTCCTGCTTCGGGGCAGATGCCTCAGCCTCTTTGGGATCTGTTTTGCTGCCCTAATTATGGCATTTTTTCTGGGTGCTTTGAGCCTACATTGTGCGTCGCGGGCTGCTGCGGCGGCTCCTTTTCCACCTGGCATAGCCAAGGAAGCATAGCGCTGCTTCGTTAAGCCCTCACCCTTTCTGGCGCAAGGTTGTGAGGTCCCACCCATTCACCGTCTGTTGGGTGCTGGAGGCTCGGCGCAGCACATCAACGTCAAAAAATTCAGGGCTTACATGGGCTTACCTAACCCTTGAGAGGACAGTGGGCTCAAGATGCACCGCGGCTAGGCTGCTGCGTGGGCTCGTTTCCCAAGTGGCCCTTGCTGCCAGAAAAAGGGTCGAAGCTCCAGCCCTGCGAGGGACTGCCAGAGTGGTTGGCGTGTGGGGATGGTGGAGCCCTGTGGCCTCGCGCAGGCAAGCCCGCAACAACCTTAGATCTCCGTTTCCCCGACCCGAGCGCCTGATGCACAGCTTCGTTCTCCCAACCTTCAGTGCGCGATGCCGCCTTTCCGGCCGGCCACACCTTGCAAAACGGGTTTATGATAAGGCTCTGCGGAATAATTGGCTAGCTAAGTCGGTTGCCTCTCCCTTGACTTTTGCACCTGCGACGGCCGAGCCTGCCCACGTCTCTTGGGTGCGTGCATCCGGCGCATCTGGCACCTGCTGTTGCAGCAGACGTTAGGGTTGGGGGAACAGGGTTGGTCGTCTTTCGTCTGCTGGTATTGGTCTCGTCTGTCTGTCGATCCCGTGGAGCTCTTTAGTCGTAGTGCCGCCGTCTGCCGCCATATGTGGCTTTGGCGTGCGCCACACCCTCCTTGCAGCTCAGAGGAAGTGTCTGGGCCTGCGGCCCTATGCCAAGATAGTGTCGGAGCTGAGCTCCTGTTGGGAGCATGCCGAGCCGCCCGTGCGCAGAATGATCGAAGGCTTTGCTGGGATAACTCTGTGGGCTTACTACGGGCTTGGCCGCATCACGTGCGACGACTTGCTTCTCGGATCCGCAGCGACGGTTTGTGGGATCGGAGCTCCGCTGTGTTCCTTTGCCTGAGCGTGCGGAAGACGACAGCACGTGGCCGCCTTCAAGTTCAACAAGTTAAGCTCGAGGACCGCGCGGCGATCGGCGTTGATCACCCAGGCATTTGGGCAACTTGGCAGGCTCAGCCGAGCCCTGCCGCCTATCATCGGTACAGATGGAACCAGATTTTGGGTGCGCTAGATTTACGTTTGAGCGCTGAGTTTCGCCTCACACGCGCGGCGGACTTCGGGGAGGAGGGCCTGTGAAGTCTTATCGTCGAGGGCTCCCGCCTTCAAGAGTTGGGAGCCGTCTCTGCGCTGGCAGGCTCGAACAGTACGGCCGCAACTCATGCGCGCTGCCGCTATGTGCTACGACGCCCTGGCTTTTTCTTCGGCGTGATTGTGGGAGCCCACTCCTTTGCATCCGCGCTTGCCCGCGGCACTTGCGAGCTCGCCGGCAAGCCGCTAAGCCGTTTTTACAGGCGCAAGAGACTTCGCCCTTTTTCTAGTGCAGCTCGGGATGCAGTCGGCCTTTGTACAGTTCGCAGCCCGACCTCGAACCATGTGGAGCGGCACGGACAATCTCGAGTCCTGTTGAGATCCTTTTGAGGGAAGGCCTGTGCAACGTGTATGTGTGGATGCGTGGATGTATGCAAAGCATCTCGGCTTACGATCTTAGACCGCTGGATGCCCGGGTGTGTTGGGGCTGTTGTTCCGGCTGGGTCGTTCGGGGCGGACATCGAGATCGTCGAGACATCAAGGGCAGAGGGGCTTTTGCTGCTGGTTCTGAAGGGTGTTAGACAATGCAATGGAACCCATGGAAATGGCAGCGCCCCACGGGCGCAACAAAGTCCCCCGAAACCCGTCATAGCTGTTCTTTGAGTACGACCCTCTGGCTGATCTTGTTCGTGGCCTCATTGAACAACGACTATACCTGTCATCCTGGATCAAGCAGAGCATGAGTGTAGCTGCTCCTACGCGGCGGTGCCACAGGCGATGGGAAAGGGCATCGGCATTTGTGGTGGTGTATGAAGCATGGCTCATGCTACAGCGCAAGGCTCGCCTACAAGTTCCTCGAAGGGTTTGCTGGTTCAACCCTGAATTTGGTGAGGCCATGTTCAGAGTGCTATGCCTCAGGCAAAATCAGAAACTCGACGAGATGGATTAGGGTCCAGATTGTCAGGGCAGTCACCGGAGCCGTTCGGCTCTTTAGGACAGGCCAGGCCACTGTGGGTGATCATCCTTTGTCTTAGTGGGGGAACAGTCTATTGGCGTGCTTCTCATCCAGGCCAATGACAGGGCCAATGACCATTCCATTCCTGCAACCTCTGGTTCGGCAGTCGAGTGCCCTTCGTACTTATAGAATGTCCACACTTCTGCAGAGTGTGTTGCCGCTGACCGGAGTGTATCCGTGGCTTCGCCGGCAGACAGAACATGTGACACTCCTGAAAGTGTGGGCTCAATGCAGGTGCTGTGACCATGAGTGACGGAGGGCTAGGCTGGAGGAGACATGCAGCCGCGAAATGCAAGAGCATGTTTGGCGAGCTCGGGTGATGGGGACCCTCCAGATTTTGATCCTCCAGATCGCTTTGCTCCTGATGTTCCCGCCCAGAGGTCTAGCGCAAGCAGGCAGTACACAGTGGAGGCAGAGAAGGCAACCGCAGAGAGCCACGCGAAACATGCCGATTCCTTTGGCGGCTAAGCCATCTCCTATGTCTCGGGTGGCCAGGTCCCGACTGACATCGGCCAAGGCTGGTGGCTATATTGTGCAGGTATCACATTGGCATTCGGCGTCACCTTGCTTGCTTGCTTGCTTGCTCAGGTCCGGCGTAGGCCTCCAGTTTGTGAAGAAGATGGAGGCGCTTTACCTGACTATCATTTGCTCACCGGAAACGATGGACTGGGCAGGTCCTATCCGCCATCATGCACCTGGCACAGGTGAACTTGCTAGAGAGACCCCTCAAAGGGTACCCCTCTTAAAAGGGACCTTATTGAGAAGGTCTATATCCCCGGGGTGCCCCTAATCCTAACTGAGCTGCAGCCCCATCTCTATGCCTTCTACCAGGTCAGAACATCCTCCTGACGCGAACAACAAGAGCCGGGTCCCAAGTCCCGCGCTGCAGCAGGAGGTTACAGTTTGGTCTGCTCGTTCGCTGGGCCAGCCTTGTGTGGCTAGTGCAACAGATTTTGGTTAAGTTTTGTGAGAGCTGCAGAGATGCGTGGGTTGGGCTCTAGCCGCAGCACCGCCCACACATTCTCCCAAAAAGTTGGCCCTGAAGAGAGCGTGCAACCGAGCTGTCAACGGCCCTACAGGACACACATTGTTTTTACAGCACAGCCAACTTCGCAAAGGTCCCGTCCCAAAGCCCCAAGCCTGGAGGGAGAGGCCCACGCCTGAGAGGAGCCGCCGGAAGGCTACGGATCACGTCGTGGAACATTGGAAGTCTCAGCAGCACCAGGTGCAACGAGATCCTTGAATGGCTGGCCCAGGAAGCCCAAAGAGGACATATGTTCCTGCAAGTTCGTGGCGGCCTGGTCCCGACCTCTGGGATTCGGCGTGTGAGCATTCTATCAGGACGGCTCCTTCATGTCAGGCTCATGTTAGAGGCTCCTCTGGACCTGTTGGGGGTATACCAATACTCGTGGAACCCCGGAAAAGTCTCTCTGGAAAGCCGCAAGCTGATGGCCCTGCTAAAGCAGAGAAAGAAGATCTGGAAGCTGACAGAACAGTGGCTTTGGAGGGTGCCGAGAAGACGTGTCTCATAGTTGGTGACCTGAACGCAGTACCTGAACCCGGCATCTGTGGGCCAGGTGTTGTGCAACACCATGGCCAACAACAATGTAACAACAAGGCCAGGCTGAGTTTCAAGACACGGATCTGTCGTGCTAGGCCCGGCACTGCTGTGATCACCTCCGGGGGGGCAGACGATGTCAGCAGCTCCAGCTCCTTGGTAGCATTCGTCAGCTGCGTCTGAGCATCTTCGGTCATGGCCCGTGACGCCTCAGCGGACGACCTCTCGCGACCCTAAGGTGGAGACACACCCCGCTGACTGAAAATACCAAAAGAATGCCATGCTTCGCGTGCGACGTGGCCTCCCCACGTAGTTGTCTGCGGTTTTCGCTCACCACTTTGAGCTGGGTGTCTTCGTCTAGGTGTTTTCGAAACATGTGGTGCTTCAAGGCAGCTTGTGTTCCATGGAAGTTCCATATCCTTGTCCACAGACTTCACAGTTGAATCTCCCCGGCAAAATGTCACTCACGAGCTGCAAATGTGTCCTCTTTGCTGGGATCTACTGCTGGAGCTAGCTCCACAAGCCTCCCTAGCGTCTGCGATGTGGCCTCTCACAAAGTCACGCAATTGTAGTTGTGCGCTGCCTAACTGCAGGGGAGTTGGGCTGGGTAAGCCTGTGCCCTTCGATCAATGGCCTGGATCAGTCGAAGCAGAGGGTCCGACAGGTGCAGTATTTTCGGAAGGTCCTGGTGCGATGCATGAGTGAACATACTGAACAGTTTGGCAATCGAGCGGGCTGACTATCGAATAGAGACATCCCTGAATTTGAGGACGGAGGTTAAACGGAGTGCGTCGGTGCCCCTCGCGAATGTAGTGGTGAGAAGTGCCTGCGCGGCGTGAGGGGCTAACACTTTCCACAAGGCTGCTGGTGCGCTTGTTGAGGGCATTGCCTTGCCAGCAGCTAATCTTGGCCATCTTCAGTTCAGTCTCCGCGAACACAATATCCTTCGAGAGGGTCACAGGTTCACTGCCTGGGCCTGAGAACAGCTTTGCGAATGACTTAAAGATCTGACTGAACTCAGCGCGCTGGGACTGGATGTGGCCCTGCTCCGATCTGCGATGTAGTCGTCGTCGCGCCTGTCTGGGAGCGAATTTCTAGGCTGCTTGCTGTATATTATCTGCGTTGACCGTCTCACAAGGATGCGAAGGGTCTTGCGCCGTCAGCATTGACGCAGCTTGCGGGTGGTGGCTTGTGGCCCAGGCATCCCACAACGTTTTGAGGCCTGACCTCTTCATCCCGGTTGGTCCTTGTCAACTCGCGCAAGAAGGCTCGAAGTTGCCACATGCACACGGCGGTTGCACGCACTCCTCTTAAGAATTCTGGCCTGTATCCATGCAGGTTTCCCGAGCTGCTGCGGCATCTGCCACCCTCGTAGGATCACATGGTCAAGTTCAGCCGTTGGCTCACTCACTTCCAACGCTGGGGTCTGGAAGATGATTGCTCTGCGCAGGTCGTCCTGGTTTTTTTTGGACCTGCATAGGCCGGAGTGGTGTAGGCTGTGATCGTTTGTGCCTGGGGAGCTGGGGTATAGTGGGACCGATGCTTGAATAGGTTTGTGTCTGCAACCACTGGTGGGCTCGCGTGGTGCCAAGAACGGTTCAGCCCGCTTGGCGACATCGTCCGCTAAGGAATCTCGCGCAATCACGAAGTCAATCTGAATGCCCTGCTGTCCTCCTGCTTGCTGCTTGACCCTGCAGGTATGTACGTTCTCTAGTGGAGCCTGTCCCTTTCCATGTGTTCAGGAGGCAGCACCTCGGACGCCGCCAACCAGAAGCCAGGCTTCTTGGTTTGGGGCTTGGGAACCCTAAGCAGAGTACCTCAGAAACGGCCGAGGCAAACGCGGAGTGGAGAAAAGGCAGCGGCAGATATCCGAAAATTCCTGGCCGAATCAGTGACCCCAGGGCTCGAAAGGACACAGGGGCAGGGGCAAGGACAAGACCAAGAGCAAGGCCAAAGGAACCAAGAAGACGGACCCTTGCAAGGAACCCTTGGAACGAGGAGGAGCTCATGGAGGACCGCGCGAAAAAGTACCAGGCCCTCCTCACATGTTGGCGACGATGGTGCTGCGCCAGATGCTCAATTCCTGATCCAGAAGCAGGACATCCTTCGTCATCTTCATGCAGACGCATCTCGATCGTAGCGTGGCGAAGTCGACATTTGGGCTATAGCCCAGAAGTGGCACGACATGAATGCGACGACGCCGGAAAAGTTGAAGTCGCCAATGAGAGTGCTGCTGTTTCAACACTTCATCCAGACGGTGCAGCAGAAGTTCAAGATGATTGTTGCGAGCTCCTCGTCGAGATCAACAGTGGCTTCATTGGGGTGGATGAATGCAGAGGAGACAGCCATCAACGGAGTACGATTGGATGCTCAGCACCACACGCACATCAAAGACCTGATGATCCCGCCGCTTACCATTGCCGAGGTTCGCGAGGCCGTGGAGGAGATCACCGCGAAGTGCACCAAGACGGAGAGGCTTTGCTTTAAGGCATTCGTGCCGGAAGCCTCCCATCTTTCCAGTGGAGGATACGGATGTGCGAAGCACAGCACCATTAAGCAGCCAGGCAGTAGGCCTGTCTGCGATTTCGCTCTCCAAAGCTCGTACTTCTGCAACGTCGAAAGTGAAAGTGAAAGGATGTATGCTTAAGTTTGCATTTGTGCGTGTGTGCGCACGTCCATGTTTTTGCATTATGTATTTCGTTTCCTCTGTAGCCGCACTGCATCTGCTGCACACCGTTTTTGTGCGTATGTCTGTCCTTATCTCCGTATCAACACAACTCCCCCAATTTTGTGCTGCATGCGACCCTCATGGCTTCTCCAGGCTCCGTGCCGGGAACGCGCAAATACACGCCGCCCTTTTACTATGAAACCCGCATCATCTTCCGGAACCTCCGGCATGCCAGGCTCTCCTCTCAGTTGGAATGACAGGGCGACGAATTTGTTGTTACATTTCTTAAGCTGTTCAAGTTGTGCTCTCGGAGACATCAGGTCCTCGGATGTGTCGCAGGCTTTCGGCCGCACCTACGAGAAGTGCCATGAAATTCAGCGGGACCAGTTCTTGCTGCCCTATTACTTGTGGCACGCGAATCTGAGCTTTGACACAGAGGCCTTTCCAATGAACTTTCTGGCAGATTCTGTGGGGATGTGCATGGTCAACACTCGAGAAGGGCGCAACTAAGTCATGATCACTTCTTGCCCCGCTGCCGGTCTTCGCTGGCCGTTTCTCTGCTTGGAGCCGTGGTGTGACGGCGGGAAAAAGGGCCGACAGCTCCCCACTGCACCTCGTCAGGGGCCTCTCGCACGTGAGTCCGAGGCCCCGCTTTGAGCAGGGAACCTTCTTGGCACAAGTGGCCTTTGCGGAGAACTCCCTCACAGAGGCGCGGCACAGGCACGGTTCCTCGCTTTGGCGTGAGATCAGCAGTTGGCAAGGCGGTGACAATGAAGGCCAAGCAGCGAAGGGTTTGACGCACGGGACGGGTCACGGGGATGATCTCTCGAGTGTGCAGGTTTGTGACATGGAGCCATTCTGGGAGAAGGACCGGCTCTGCACTGTGTTGGGGGGCAACAGCCGGGTCAAGTTCCCGCCGGGCTGTTTCCGTCGTTGTAACATGAAACCCGATGATCACAGAAAGCTCTGTCCCGTCAGCTTTTGCGGCTGGCGAGCCAGTTTCGGCCCGATCCAAGAATCCGAGTGAACTCACTCAACGAAGCTTCTCGAAGTTGGCGTGCATCTCGTAGTCCATGGAGTCGGCCAGCAAGCGATACAAGTAAATGCATTCTGAATGCTTTCCTGGTACAAGACAGACTTGCGTTCACAGCCTGTTGTCTTGGTGAGCTCAGCTCCAGTTATGTGCAACATTGTGCGACCAGACCTTCCTCTCCTGCTGTTCCGCTTGAAGTGAGACCCTGCCGAGGAGAGAGCGCGGGCACAATGTGAGGGCTCGAAAATTCGTGATGTCCACGTGTCCTTAGAGTTTGTTTGGACCAAACACAATTTCAAGGTTTTCCAGCTGTGGATGCCAAACGAAAGATAGATCTTGAGTTTTGTAAGCATGCGGTACCTGCACTGGTACGGAGACGAGCGTTGTGCCCAAATTCACTACTCACCCAATGCAAACCAAAACTCTGAACATCAGCTGGCTTGAGTTACAGCGGGTTGTTCGATCAGTGGACCTTGGTTGATCCTTGTAAGATCTTGTAAGCATGCCTGAGCAAGACCCAGGCATACGATTGTGCTCCGTGATTGGTGCCAGGGCCAGACGGTCTTTGACCTGCGGGAGTGCAGCCTGAGCCCCGCAGGGGGGCCGAGAGTTCTCCACTCCACCCGTCTACCTCCTCCCCCTCCCTCCGCGACTTGTCCCTCTACAGTCGGAACCAGGGTACAGTACCCCAATCAGAAACCCTATCCAGCAACTTGTCCAAAACCCACGACCCACATATCACAACCAGCTGACTAGCTCAGACGTTGCATGGTGTCCAAAGCTTGGGTTGAACCTTCAAGGCACCAGCAAGCTTTTTGACAAGTTTCATTTGTAGTAGGGACTCCTCTTCGTCCGGATGATGCGTGTCATCGGAGAAGTCTGCATCCCAAAAGCCCAAGACCCTGAAGAAAATGATTGGTTCCGAAAACCCAAAGCCGTTAAGAGTTATGGGTTCGCAGGAAGAGGGTGGTCCGGGAACTGACTGCGGAACACTAGCCGTAAAACACTAAGTCCTAACTACAAACAATACTGACTACTCAGTAGGAACGATTAGCTGCAAAAGACTAACCCGCTAACTGCGGACTACCAACTACAAAGCTTTGACTACTACTACTACTACTACTACTACTACTACTACTACTACTACTACTACTACTACTACTACTACTACTGCTACTGCTACTGCTACTGCTACTGCTCCTGCTCCTGCTCCTGCTCCTGCTCCTGCTCCTGCTCCTGCTCCTGCTCCTGCTCCTGCTCCTGCTCCTGCTCCTGCTCTGCTCCTGCTCCTGCTCCTGCTCCTGCTCCTGCTCCTGCTCCTGCTCCTGCTCCTGCTGCTGCTGCTGCTGCTACTGCTACTGCTACTGCTATCGCTACGGCTACTGCTACTGCTACTGCTACTGCTGCTGCAACTGCTTCTACTCTACTGGCATCCTGCTACTCCTGCTGCTCCGGCTGCTCCTGCTGCTCCTGCTACTCCTGCTACTGCTGCTACTCCTGCTGCTCCTGCTACTCCTGCTACTCCTGCTACTCCAGCTACTACTACTACTACTACTACTACTACTACTACTACTACTACTACTACTACTACTACTACTGCTACTGCTACTACTACTACTACTACTACTACTACTACTACTACTACTACTATTACTGCTACTACTACTACTACTACTACTACTACTGCAGCTGCTACTACTACTACTACTACTACTACGACGACTACTACTACTACTGCTCCTGCTCCTGCTCCTTGTCCTGCTCCTGCTCCTGCTCCTGCTGCGGTTGTTGCTGCTGTCGCTTTGGGTGTGTTGTGAGTTCCACCCATCAGGTGAAGCTGATTGTTTGGGCCTTGATCCCTGCGGTCACGTTGTCCTGTGGCTCCTTAGGCACGGGGACGGCACATGCAGAAGGGTTTCTATGGTTTCTGCGTCTTGCGCCAGGTTTTTGGAGCTGGCAGCGGAATGTTCGCGGTCGCGGCAAGGACTAGTTTGGAAGCCGGGATAACCCGGTCGTTCCCGATGTTGGACTTGAGGCAAAGGCAACTGCAGCCGCTTTTTCTTGATCCAATGACCCGTCTCGGAGGAGACACAGATCGGGACCCTGGTGGGAATCGGCCAACTTCCTAGACCTGGCCAGTCCAAAGGCTTTTCAGACTGAACAGACTTCGGGTGACGCGACGAGGCATGTCCTTCCTCAGTGTGGGCTACGATTGGTTCTTCAGCTGGACACTCTGGAGGAAAGCGGCGAGGGGCCCTGTCTGTTGTGACAGTGTCACCTATCCGTCCTGGTGGTTGAGTGAGTAGTAGTGTCCGTTGTGGTCACAGCGTGTTGGTGGGTGCTGGCCCACTCCTTTTCGGAGGATGTTGACCCAGCCGAACCACGAACGTATGCCGTCCGCTTGAGTTGATGCACAACTTGCCGCCCGACACGGCTCAGGATGCAAGCACACGACATGACAGGAACAGCCAGCTTGCGTACTCCACGGCCGAAGTACCCCCAGATCAATCCCAAGCTCAAAGCCAAAAGTGGATGAAGCATGACATTTCCTGACATTTCCCTTGCTGAGCCCATGCGCCTGAAGTCCTCGGCCACAACCTGGCCCACCCTTCTGTTGGCTGTTGCACTTTGCTTTTTCTCTTGACTGCGATCGGCCTGGTAAAGTCTCGCTGCCAGCCCTTCCTGGTCGGCCTGCAGCCAAGCTTCATAAAGCACATGCAGCAGCAGTAGCTTCCACGGTTCGAGTTGTGGGCACTCAGGCGCGGATGTGCTGACGTTGTGAAGGGGGCGGAAGGTGGGAGAAATGCAGCAGAAGCTTCGAAGCTGCCTCTTGCTATCTTTCAGTGCCAGGCCAGGAAACGAGGGCCCAAGAAGGGCCCCGAGCGAGGCCGACTCTTGGCAATTCTTGGTGGCAGTCTTTCCACTGTGGGCACCGTGGGCATGACGCAGGTCTTCCTGCCTAGGTGCCAATGCGTGCGACCGCATTTGGTGTTCCTTGGCCGGCACCGCCAGAACGGACATGTGACGGTCGGACTGAAGTCACAGTTGGCTTTGGGCAAACAAGCGTGTTATCTTTGCCTGATGCACTTCCGGATTAGACCACTTGGCCGCCTTGTGTCTCTGTAGACTTTACCCTGCCTCCACGTCTACTTTTGATGTCCTTAACTATTCCTTCACGCGACTGCATCTCGGCTTAAGTCACCCCGAGTACAAGGGTGTTCAGGGTTGACTAGTTGACTAGACGGTATCGTAGGTGTGTGAGTTGTGTACCTGTGAAACTTCAGGTTATCAGCCGTAGGTTGCTCTAAGTGGATATTGTACCGTTCGTTGGCAGTGCGGGTACTGCGGATGAGGCTCAACAAGAGGCGGCGGTTAACAGCTACTTTCTTCAGCTCGTGCAGGAGAACCACAACCCCCGTCTACAGCACGCCCTTAGAGGAACGTGCCGAGAGACGACATGGTCTTGGATCACATTTACAATGAGCTTCAGCCTACACTGGTACTTGGAGCATATTGCAGATGCAAATCACCGACAGCAGTTGTCGTTCGTGAGGGAAAGCACCGAAGTCTTGGTTGCACAGTTAAACAGTGAAAACCAATTTTTGCAGAGAGGGGCAGCAGCAGAGCAGAGAACAGTGCACTACCTGCAGGCACAACTCGCGCGCAGTAAAGTAGAGTGTCAGGAGGAAAGACACGACTCAACATGTGCAACTCCGAGCTCGAGGCACGCACGCACACGCTGGCCGCAGCAAACAGACAGCATGAGCATGCCCACACGGAATTGCGCACATCGTTTGCTGAAAACCGCATGGAGTTGATCGAGTAGTCAGGCCAGGAGTTTGAGGAACAGCTTCAGTGCGAAGAGAAAGAGTATTACTACCATTTTAGCTCTGAGGAACAGCAGTGCGACCACTGGGTTGCCCATCTTGAGGATCGCAACGCAGAGCTTATAGTTGAGGCCAACTCGCTAAGGTCATTCTGGACGATTTTAGCAGAATAGCCCAACGCAAGTTGGAGCCATGCCGGTGTCAGGGGTTGGTTTGAGCAAGAGCTCCGCAGCGCAACCAAGCCAACCGCAAGGGGGTACCACAGCATCGGGTGTTCTCGGGTAGTCCGTGGGTTCCCACTTTGCCCAACCCCCCGTGAGATTCCGGAGGCACTTCAGGGACTGTTGGGAAATTTTCAAAGCCTCAAAGGTTCAACATCGGAGATGACCCAAGGTGAGCCAGGGCCCCCGAAGCTGGGGTATCTACCGTTGAACAGAATGCCTTCTAGCCGAAACTCCCCAAGCTGCGATCAAGAAGCCAGATGATGACAAACCAATGGCTGAGGAGGCTGAGACTGTGAAGCTACCTGACTTCCCAAACCCGGAGACATACAGAAGTTGGAGGATTTCGGTTAAGGAGGCCGTCATGGCAGCCTCAGACAAACCTGATGAGGCCTTCAAGCGGGTACAGGAACTCAGCCACCCTCACGAATGCACAGTTTTGGGCCACGCTATGAGCTAGCTGCCCGCAAGGATGAAGCCAATCCCAGGGATGCAGGGATGATTGGGTTGTTGACGAGGACAAGGGTGCGTGTGCCAGGATTCATCGGAAGTTCAGACGCTGTCTCTGTGTCCCTCGGCCCGATCATGGCCCAGTTCCTTTATGGATTCATAGTGGACAAGCGTACCTACACGAAGAGGTTTCGCAACGCTGAAGACTGTGTCTAGAACCCCACCGACGATAGCGAGGATGCCTTGGAGAACGCACTCCAACCGCATTCAGCTCGGCCTTCGGGTGAAATGCAAACACAAGTGTCGCGGGAGGGAAGCTTTTTGCGTCCACTGCAAAACCGCAGTACCTCTCCCGGTGGTCCCTGCAGCAACGAGTCCAATCTGGAGATCATCGCAAACACTGGCAGTGAGGAGGATCTTATCAGCAATTCTGATCGATAGGCGGGTCACTTGCGACTTCTGTCGGATGTCACTTGTAACTTCTCGAGTTGCGAGTCGCTTGTGACTTCTGTCGCCTCTGACTTCTCTAGCCAGCGAATTTGCAACACCACTCAGCAAAAAGGCATGAAACCGCTTGTGACTTCTCTGGCTTGGGATCGGGTTTTAACCTTGCATCTTGGACTTTCTCGCAAGGGCAGGGTTTAGGTTTAGGGCAGCGGGCCCGAGTTTTCAGGGAAAAAATGCTTACATATTTTCCCTGTAAACTGCTCCGGGTCCTTAAAGTGAAGCATGAGGGTTTGGGGTAGTTTGTTTTGGTGTTCAGGGTTTATTCGCCCGTTTAGGTTCAGGCTTGGGGTTTACGGTTCAGGGTTGATCAGTGTCTAGCCTCAGGGTTCAGGGTTTACGGCTTGAGGCTTAGGGTTCAGGCTTGGCTAGGGATTAGGGTTTACGGTTTAGGGGGTTAAGGTTTAGGGTTCACGGTTTAAGGTGTGGGCATAGGGTCTAGCCTCAGTCAGGCTTAGGGTTCAGGGTTGATTACGGTTTAGGATTTACGGCGCAGGGGTTAAGCTTCAGGTTTGGTCAGAGTTTGGGGTTTGGGTTTGGGTTTTGGGTTCAGGGTTCGCGGTTTATTGTTAGGGTTCAGGGTTTACGGTTTAGGGTTTAGCCTCAGTGTTCGGGTTCAGGTGTTAGGGATCAGGGTTGGTCAGGGTTGGGGGCTTACGGCTTGGGTTTGGGGTTTTGGGTTCCGAGTTCGCGGTTTCGGGCTAGGGTTTGGGTTTGCGGTTCATGGTTTACGATTTACGGTTTAGGGTTTAAGGTTCAGGGTTGGTCAGGGTTTAGGGTTTACGGGTTCGCGGTTTGGGCTGTTGGGTTCGGGGTTCGCGGTTCAGGATTAGGGTTCAGGATTTCCGGGCATGGGATTATGGTCTAGCCTCAGGGTTCAGGATTTAGGGTTCGCGTTTTAGGGTTTACGGTTTAGGGGTTAAGCTTCAGGGTCGCTTAGGGTTTGTAGGGTTTGCGGTTTAAGCGTTAGGGTTCAGGCTTGGTCAAGGTTTGGGGTTGACGGTTTGGTGTTTAAGGTTTGGGTTCGAGGTTCGCGCTCTAGGGTAGGGTTTACGGTTTAGGGTTTCGAAATAGGCCCTGGTCTTAGGGTTCAAGGTTTACGGTTTAGGGGCTAGAGTTCAAGGTTGGTTCGGGGTTCAGGATTGCTTGCGTTTTTTCGACGCTCACACTCGGACAAGCCAGGCAAGATCTGCAGCCAATCTGCTTACGGTTCAGGGTTTAGGGTGCAGGTTGGTCTGGGTTTCAGGTTACGGTTTGGGTTTGGGGCTTTGTTTTTTTGGGTTTAAGGTCAGGGTTTAGGGTTTACGGTCACGGGCTCAGGGTCTAGCCTCAGGGTTCAGTTTAGGGTTCGCTGTTTGAGGTTTACAACTAAGGGGTTCAGGTTCCGGGTTGCTTATGGTTTAGGGCTTGCGGTTTAGGCGTTAAGGTTCAGGCTTGGTCAGGGCTTGGGGTTGACGGTTCGGGCTCGGGGTTTTGGGTTCAGGGTTCGCAGTCTAGGCTTAGGGTTTAGGGTTGGGGCCGTGCACTGACGCTCCTGAGAGCGAAATCAGACTCCTTCCAGATCCTTGAACTCTGAGGGTGGCGCTTTGGACTGATGCGGCACCCGTGATTGTTAACTCAGATCTCTTACAGATCTTGAACTCCGAGGATGAAGCCTTGGACTGATGGAGCGCCCCTGAATTTTGGATTCGCACTCTTAGAGATCTTGAACTCGTCTCTGTTTTTCAAGTCAGAACCCATGGAGATCTTGAACTCCGAGGGTGGGGCCCTGGACTGATGCGGTGCCCCTGATATCGGGTTTGTCGGGTTTGGCGTTTGGCGGGCTTGTCGGGTTTAGCGGGTGTATCGGGTTTAGTGGGTTTAGCGGGTTTATCGGGCTTATTGAGTCTAGCGGCCTAGCGGGTTTATCGGGTTTAGTGGTGCGCATCCGCTGTTTGCGCGCGCAATGCACTTCTTACCCACGGTAGAGGGGGTCGCTTGTGACTTCATTCGGGTGTCACTTGTGACTTCTGTGCCGGTGTCGCTTGTGACTTCTCAGTCTCTGCCGTTACAAAATTCTGTGTCGTTACTTTTGGATTTTGTAACCTTGGCGACCCTCCCTCGCTCTCCTCTCCCTTCTCCTCCCTCTTCCACCTCCTCCCCTCCATCCTCTTTCATGGTGCACGAGATGCTCACGAGGATCTGTCCATGATGCCCATGAGGTTGATCGTTTATGCTAAAACCGGCGTCTTTTTCGGATCCCTCGTCGGGGCGCCCTAAATACCCTGAACTTGCCCTAGACCCTCATCCCTCACCTCAATTACGCAGGGCTGTTTTCAGGGAAAAAATTTCAAGCAATTATTGTCCGGAAAACTTGGCCACGGATTTCGTCCTAGAAACCCCAAAGCTTGAGCCCCAAACCGAAAGTCTGAATTCCAAACCAAGACCGTAAACCGCAAACGCTGCTCTGAATTCCAAATCCTAAACCGTCACCCTCGGAGTTCAAGATCTGTAAGGGTTCTGATGTAAAACCAGGGGCGTCCTAGGCCCCACCCCCGGAGTTCAAGCTCAGTAAGAGTGAAGAGTGCTGATCTGAAAATCATCGGCGCTCCATCAGTCCAAGGCCTCATCCTCGGAGTTCAAGATCTGTAAAAGTTTTGATTTAAAAAAATCAGGGGTGCCCCATCAGTCCAAAGCCGCACGCTCGGTTCAAGGATCTGTAAGGGTTCTGATTTAAGAATGCGGGATCTGTCAGGTTTCTGACTTAAGAACCAGAGGCGCCCCATCAGTCTGTATCCTCGGCGTTCATCATCTGTAAGGGTTCTGCTCTAAAAATCAGGGGCGCCCCATCAGTCCAAGGCCCCACCCTCGAACTTCAAGATCTGTAAGTCTGTAGGGGTTGTGATTTAGAAATCAGGGGCGCCCAGTCAACCCAAGGCCCCACCCTCGGAGTTCAAGATCTGTAAGCCACCCGCGGAGTTCAAGCTCAGTAAGAGAGCTGATTTGAAA